AGGGAGGTGGCGACGCACAGCAAGACGTGCAGCAGCATCGCGGGTCGCCCACTTGGAGCGAACGGCAGAGTCAGCATCAGCAGGTGGGGCAGGGACAGCGCCAGAGACAAAGTCAAAGAGAGAGACCTCATCTATCGCATCACACAGTAAGTACAGCTGCAGGTCTTCAATCCAGACGGCAAAGTCAATGGCCCTCCCCTCAGCGTCAAAGGTAAGAACATTGGGGGTGGCCATGACAGCAGCTGAAAATCTCACCGGGCTGGGAGAGGCGGGTAGGTCAGCAGCAGAGGAACAGCAGAACGGCTCCGCAGGCGGCTCGGGCGGCGCGGGCGGCTCGGGCGGCACGGGCGGCTCGGCGGCGGCTCGGGCGGCGGCTCGGTGGCGGCTCGGCGGCGACTCGGCGGCGGCTCGGCGGCGGCTCAGGCGGCGGCGGCTCGGCGGCGGCTCGGCTGCTGCTGGGCGGTGCGGGCGGCTCAGGCGTCACGGGCGGCTCGGCGGCGGCTCGGGCGGCACGGGCGGCTCGGCGGCGGCTCGGGCGGCGGCTCGGCGGCGGCTCGGCGGCAGCTCGGCGGCGGCTCGGCGGCGGCTCGGCGGCGGCTCGGCGGTGGCTCAGGCGGCGGCGGCTGCTGCTGGGCGGATCGGCGGGGCCGCGTAGCAGAGTGGCGGCGGGGCCGCGACCGAAGAGAGCGGCGGGGCCGCGTAGCAGAGGGCGGCGGGGCCGCGTAGCAGAGGGCGGCGGGGCCGCGTAGCAGAGGGCGGCGGGGCCGCTACCGAAGAGAGCGGCGGGGCCGCGTAGCAGGGGGCGGCGGGGCCGCGTAGCAGAGGGCGGCGGGGCCGCGTAGCAGAGGGCGGCGGGGCCGCGATCGAAGGGCGGCGGGGCCGCGTAGCAGAGAGCGGCGGGGCCGCGTAGCAGAGGGCGGCGGGGCCGCGTGGCAAAGGGCGGCGGGGCCGCGATCGAAGGGCGGCGGGGCCGCGTAGCAGAGGGCGGCGGGGCCGCGTAGCAGAGGGCGGCGGGGCCGCGTAGCAGAGGGCGGCGGGGCCGCGAGGCAGAGGGCGGCGGGGCCGCGTGGGGAAGGGCGGCGCAACGGTCCGCTAGGGGCGACACGACGGGTCGCTAAAAAAAAAACGCGCCTCGGGGCGCGGTTCGGTGGGCCCTAGAAGCAGTCCCTAGGAGGGAACCTGCTCTGATTCCATGTGGAAACAAAGAACGAGAATGAAATGACTATGAACGAAGTGAGTACAAATAGGAAACCCTAATTGGGTTGTACCCCCTATGGGATACCCCACTATAGCCTACAGAAACAAGTAAGCTATATGTTCTGACACAACACTGCTGATGTCTTCACCAAGGCACTTGCTCCTTGTGATCATCAGCGTTGTTGCACGCAGTTGGGTCTTGTGCCTGTCTTGCCTCACTTGCTCTCCTCTTGACCTTGCTTGTACCTTCGCCTATGTATACTCTTGCTCTTGCTTGCTTGACTCTTGTATATCTCTATATATGATCTTGCATGTGAACTGGTCGTCTGGCCTTTGAACTTGTGCTCGGAATGCGTGGTGACTTTGTGATCCACCCTGAGCTTTGCTTTGCTTTGCTTGACTGGTCTTGTGACCCCTTGTTCTCCCCCACTTTGCCTATGGGGGTGTGTCAGATTACTATAGCTTATACATGTTGTAGGCTGTAGTGGGGTAGCACATAATGGGTACAACCCAATTAGGGTTGGTACTTCTACTGTTTTTCATTTCATAGTTGATCATTCCTGTTCCTCACTTTCACACACAAAAATGTTGAGAGTTTTCGGCTGCATGATACAGTACCGACCCCCAGCTGCACGAGCCGGACGATTCTCCCAACGCGCACAGTGGGGTCTACACCTCGGCATTGAAAAGAATTACAACGCGCGGAAGATTTCCGACATCTACTCAAAAGAAATAGTAGCAGCACGTGATGTCATTTTCTACGAGCGACTCACACTTCCGCCGTACCTTGCCAACCTGGAAGAAGACCGGGACCCCACAGGTGGCTTTCATGGTGACCGAGCCTTCGCCTCGGCAACAAACAAAGCTGAATGGGACGAGTAGAACGTAGATGAAGCCTCAGAGGAAGCCGGACCTCTCCCTTATTGCTCCATTGACGTCCCAATGGATGACGAAAATCCTCGCGAAAGCATCAACGCCGAAGTATATTACCACTTCGCCGACAACAGCTACGTTACATCTGCACGGGTCAACACCAACAAAGCAGAACGCATGGGACCCAACTTCATACCTGACCCAGAAGTAGGTGACGAAGCACCTTATCCCGAGGACACCACACTCCCCCGCTACACACAGAGTGGCCTCCAGATACTCAGCCTCGTCACCGCGGTCCACGGCACGGCGATTCCTAAGGAGCCTGCCACAGTTCAGTAGGCTCTAGGGGGGGAGCATAGGGAAAAATGGTGCGAAGCCATGGACAAGGAGCTGAAAGCACTGGAAGAACGGAACACCTGGAAAGTCGTTCCCATCGGCGTGGCACGCAACAAAACGGTACTTACCGGAAAATGGGTTTTCCGCGTGAAAACAAAGGCAGACGGCACCATCGATAAGTTTAAAGCGCGCTGGCTCGTACGCCGTTTTGACCCAGAGCACGGACGCGACTTCATCGAAACATTCACTCCGGTCAGCCGACATACCTCATTGCGAATTCTCCTAGCAGTAGCCGCCATGAAGAAGAAGAAGTTGCGACAAATCGACGTCGCCAATGCATTTCTCTACTCACCTGTTGACGCCGAAATCTTCGTCGAACTACCACACGGCTCCAACGGAGAGCCCAACCAAGTCTGTCAGCTGCTGAAGTCCCTGTACGGTATTAAACAGGCCCCGAGACTGTGGCAACAGTACTTGCATGCTAGACTCATCCGCATCAGATTCCGCCAGCTACCGCACGACCATGTCATGTACCAACTCACAAAGGGCACCGACTACATCTTACTGATTGTCTATGTATACGACTTACTCTACATTGGATCGACCGACGACGTTACTACCTGGTTCGAAGGGGAGCTACAGCAGGATCTTACTCTCACAGTGTCATCGACCTTCACGCAATACCTCGGCCTCAACATTCAGGAAGAAGAAAACGCAATCTACCTCAGCGCCGCAAAATACACCGACACCATTGCCAAACGCTTCAGACACATTCCGACCACTATCTCCATGCCATACCGCTACACCACCGAAAGTCACAAGGAGGGCTCTGTTCCGCTCAAGCCCGCAGGCATACGCGACTACCAGAGAAAGCTAGGATGCCTTCTCTTCGCGGCCGTCACCTGCCGACCGGATCTATCGTACTCTGCAAGTCAACTTGCTACCTACCTCAAGAAACCTGAAGCAGATCACATGGCGGAGCTCGACCGCGCTCTTCACTACCTCGTCAGCACCCCGACGATCAGCCTAACCTACCACAAGAATGGAACTACAACGCTTAATCGGCTTCGTCGACGCCGACCACGCTGGAGACTCTAACAACAGGCGCTCGCGCACCGGCTACGTCTACCGACTCAAACCTATCGGACCCATCCCATGGCAGTCGAGCAAGCATGAGCTAATCGCCCTCTCCTCAGCTGAAGCAGAATATATCGCACTCTGCTCAGCCTCCAAGGAAGGACTGTACCTTCGCGAACTGATGGAGGAGGCGAAGCTGGCCCAGTTACCCAGCTTCTCCCTGTTCTGCGATAATCAGTCAGCAATCCGCATGGCGAACAAGAGCGGATTCGCGAATAGGACGAAGCACATCGCACTACGATATTTCTTCGTGAAGGACGAAATCGAGAAGGAGAGACTCGAGTTGTCATACTGCCCCACGTCTGAGATGGCAGCTGATTACTTGACCAGGAAACTCGGAAAACAGAAGTTCGAGTACTGCATGCTGCTGACTGGACAAAGCCACGTCACTAGCAGCGACACTCCAGAAGCGAAGAGGAGTGTTGGAAACAAGTGATTTAAGCGCCTCTGTCGTGTCGAAGCACTAAGTCGTAAACGAAGCGAAGTACAGTGAAGCATCGGCGAGTTAACACTTGGAGGTTGAGAAGTGAAGAAACCGCTGGAGGTTACGCGAAAGTCAAAGGTCAGCGACCTTTGACCTGACAAGTACAGCGCGACAGCAAGGACAAACAGCTGACTCGTTATTGAGCAGTTGCCCGAGTCGTCACTGTATCGAACCGCAACAGCAACAGTACCGTAAAACAGTTATCAGCTGCATCTTTTCATATTCCTCGTACTCTAATAAGAACTTGTATCTCTTTGATTAAGAGTGTATTGCTATCCTCGTATCAAAAGAACCTCATATCAACCTCCCACTGAAAATTCCCCTGAACCCAAAACCTCTCGCTAGTTTTACCAGGCAATAAGTACAATCTTGATATGAGGTTTTCTTGATACGAGGATAGGAATACGCTCTAATTAATCTACTTTGCCCTCACATACCAGCGCAAGGTGGTTCAAGACTCATTATACGCTTCCGCACTTACAACAAGTCCTACCCAGGGTTTAGCCTTGCGAATATCCCAAGGGCTCTTCTCAGCCCAACACAAACCACGTGACCCTAACTTTGGGCTTCGTTGCCCGTACAGAGTGGTGGAAGGCATAAAATGTAAAACTTTAACGATAATGTTGGGTATCAACTGTAGCATCAAACCGAGTCGAAAGAAACGGCCTGCGGGAAACGGGGGCAGATAGGCAGGCACCCGCGGGGATTTCGTCTCAGATGTGCAACCAAGTGTTGGCATGGCAGTTAAGGGCAGTGAACGTGTGAAGGGTTGGGTGCGCTGGGAATGATTCGCTGCCACATCAAACAGACTGACAGCTGCACAGTAATATCTGGTCTTCTACTGTACATGGAAGCAGTACAATTACGCGCACAGCAGCACGTCAAACCTAGCAGTACACAATGCTTTTGGAATATACTACTGATTTTAACATTTCCACTAAGAATCATAATCAGCATCAGTGTCAAAAAAACTTCAACCAAACTGCATTTCCCGGAATGCCACATCACTGTCATCCACGCCCTGCCCCAGCTTGGCACGCTTCTTCTGCCGCACGCCGCCCGCCCCCCCGTCCAGAAACTGGGCGGCAGTTTTGGCACGTAGCTCGTCGAGCCCCTCGCCCTCCTTGGCCCTTTCAAGCACGAGGTGGCGGCCGTACAGGTGGGTGCTCTTGAGCGCATCAAAGGCACTCTCTGCTTCCCTCTTTGTTGCAAACTCCACAAACGCAAACCCCCTGTGCCCCCCGTCAAACTTGCGTGGCAGCCGCATGCTCTTTAGCTGAGGGTTGGGTGGGGAAGGAAGGGAGGGGGTAGCTTGAATGACAGTAGTCAGGAAGCAATCCAAGAAGGCACCTCCCTCTAGAGGCAAAGCCCCCTGTGGACCCAAGGCTGATGTGAGAGTAATCATGTGAGAAAGTTACATGTGCCAGTAATCAACTGCCAGGATACTTCACCAGTTGCTGTGACCTGTATTACCTGCCCAGTAATGGTTTCACCAGCCCACAAAGCTCACCTGCCCAAAAGGTGCAAACAGCTGCTGAATGTCCCTCTTAGTGGCCTCAAATGGCTGGAGGAGAGAGGGAGAACGAGAGCGGGGATAGATGGGCGGGTAGAGAGTGAGATGGAAGTGAAAGAGATGGAGAAATACGGTACTGCCGAGTGTCCCTCGTGGTGGCCTTGAATGGCTGGGAAAGTGGCAACGGAGAAGGACGAATGGAAGAAACAAAAGCATGCAATTTGGTATTAGGGAAGGGATGCAAAACGCTCAGTTGTTTTTGTTCTTCCCTCTTTGACTCCATTCCACAGCATTCAGAACTCTCCAACTCACCACATTGTGCAACATAACCTTTTTAAAATCTCTTTTCTTTGAACCCAGCTTCTTTTTTTTCTCCGTCCATTCCTTCGTGTCACCCTCAACTCACCACATTCCGCACGATCAATTTGGTCGAGCTCTCCTTCCCCTTTCCCCCTGGCCCTGCTCCCTCACCCTTCCCCTCACCCCCCTTCGCCTCCCCTTTGCTCAGCTGCAGCAGCAACGCATGCCCATCCAGCACAGTGCCCTGTGGAGAGAGAGTTGAACGCATTGGGGTAGAAAAGGAAAAAGAATGAGAAAAAGAGGAGAAAAGAGGTGTTTAGAATGTTGTGGGGAGCAGCAGGGTGGCTGCAGTTTTTCTTGCCCCCCATCCCGCTTTCCCAATATATACTGGATGTGCATGCATACATACATGCATGATTGCACGTAAACTGCAGTACACGAAACACTGCAAGCATGCAGAACTTATGTGCCGGATATGCAAGCATGCTTGCAGAAGGATATGAGGACCACACCGCGCGACTCACCTGCAGAAGCTTGCACGCTCGGTGTGCTGTGCAGTGCAGCAAGAACGAATACAAATTCAACGAATCCACACCCCATCGACAGCTGCTTGCCACAACAGATGCATGTGACAAGCAGGGGCGTGGGGATAGCAGCATATGTACCACATTGAACCGCACTGCACGACTCACCTGCAGCAGCTTGCACGCGCAGTGTGCAGCAAGCACGGATCCAAACTCCGCACACCCAGCTGCATACCACAACACATCCACGTGGCATGAACGGACGGGTGTGGCCACCACACCATGCGGCTCACCTGCAGCAGCTTGCACGCGCAGTGTGCACCAAGCACGGATCCAAACTCCACAAACCAAGCTGCTTACCACAACACATGCACGTGGCATGAACGGACGGGTGTGGCCACCACACCATGTGGCTCACCTGCAGCAGCTTGCATGCGCGGTGAGCAGCGAGCACGGATCCAAACTCCGCGAACCCAAAACCCATCGACAGCTGCTTGCCGTTCCGCACCCGCTTCTTGATCTGCCAAGGGTTCACACACAAGTCCGTGAGAGTGAGGCAGCATTAGGCGACTGTCAAGAAGCCTTCTTGAGCTGCTGCCCAGGGCTCACACACGAGCAGGGTGAGAGAGAGAGAGAGAGAGAGAGAGAGAGAGAGAGAGAGAGAGAGAGAGAGAGAGAGAGAGAGAGAGAGAGAGAGAGAGAGAGAGAGAGAGAACCCTATCAATGAACGGGCCATTAGAGAAGCAGCGTAGACGACTGTGGAGTCGAGGGCACTTCTTAAGCTGCTGCAGTGCTGCTGTGGCTCGCACGAAAGGGGGGTGCGGGAGAAACAGAAGTTTCTTTACTTCTCGAACGCTTGCTGTTCCGCACTTGCTTGCTTCTTCTTTATCTGCTGCGGTTTGAACTTTGACACGCAAGGGGTTGAGGAAGGAGACGTAGTGCGCAAGGGAGCTACGTGCATGCCAGTGCATCACGCAGGTCAAAGAAGCACATGACCTCGCACAAAACCCCCCCTCTCCCCTCTCCCCTCTCCCCTCTCGCTTCCCCCCCCTACCCCCTCCCCCCTCTTCCACCCCTGCCTTGCCAAAAATCTGTCTGTGACACGCGCAGCGAAGCGAATCCACATCTCACCGTGACGCTGCGTAGTGCTGGGCCCTCCCCATCCGCCCCTGCGTGCTTGCTTCTGAGAAGCTTCTCCAGGTGCTCCTTCAGCTGCGCCTCTGTTGTGGCAAAGCTGAGGTTCTTCACAAACACACTGTGGCTCGTGGGCTGGCATGGGATGCAGGGAAAGAAAATACACGAGGGGACGAGATGGGAGAGTGGGAAGGGGGTTTAAGGGAAGGAGAATGGAGAGATGTAAAGCAGAGGCTCTTGAGAAGCAAACTGTGGCTCGTGGGCTCGGGTGGCGGGGCGAAGAGAGTGGGAAGAAGGAAAGGGAGGGCCGAGATGGTGGGATTGGTTGAGGGAGGGGTGGGGGACTTGAGGCAGAGACGTCAGTAGAGAGAGGAGAGGCCGCACGTAACACAAAATCAACCTCCCATGATGGCAACAGTTGGGCCTCCTTAAATTCAACCCTCCCTCCACTCCACCACCCGCCACCCTCCCTGCACTTCCTTCACTCCTATCCCACCCACCCCCTCTGTTCCCCCTTTTGCTAGGCTCACCTGCCCGTCCTCCTCCCCTTCCACCACATGCCCCTCGGCCCCCTCTCCTCCCCCATCTCTTCCCCCAACTCCCCCCACCATCTCCGCCTCTGCAGCCATGCGCCTGGCCGCCTTCCCATCCATCACCACCGGCAGCAACCCCACTGCACCCTGCTTCTTCGCTTTCTTCTCTCCGCCTCCCTCCTTGCCTACCCCTGCGCCTCCCTCTCCTTCCCTAGAAGATGCTGCTGCTGCTGCTGCTGCTGTTGTGGTTGGCGTGTCTGACGGTGCTGCGGGTTCTAGGAAGATTCCTTCTGGTGCCCATTCCAGGTACAGAGGAACATGCCTGGTCGGTTCACAATAAGAACACGAGGGTCAAGGCGGTTCAAGGGTGTTCATAGCGGTACAGAGGTGAAGGAATGAAAGGGACACATGTCTGGTCCGGTTGAGAATGAAAACGTGGAGGATCAAGTGTTTTTAAAGAAGTAAAAAGGACACTTTCCGAAGTACAGAGAACAGTCAAGACATGCTGATTCCCATCCCAAAGGTCGTGCTGGCATTGACCACAGCTCATTGGTTAGCATTGACGCTAATGCGTACGCTGGGCAAAGTTCAAGGGGTTTAGGAGCACTCGTTTGATTCACTTTTAGGGCATGCAAGTCTCATTTTACAAGCCACTCACTGGTATCTCTTATAAGCTAGGCCTTTGAAAGCCCTCTTGGCATCAGCAGAGTCTGCCATTTCCACCTGACCATGGGAATGAGGGAGAGGGGGATGGGTGAAAGGGGAGAGGGGCGATGGGATGAGGGCGTGGAAGGGAAGGGACAGGGTTAGAAGAAGCAAGAGGGTTTCAAACAAGAGGGTAGAAGAAACAAGGACTTTAAGGCTCTCATGGCATTTGCGAAATCGGCCATCAATTCTATCAGACCATGAAAATGAGGGAGGGAGAGAGGGGAGGGGGGGTTCGGGGAAGTGGGGGATGGTGGTAAGGGTCTGAGTGGAAACGAGCATGGCTGCTGGGGATGCACGAGTTGACTTTTGAGTCGACTCAAAAGTCAACAGAGAGGAAACGAGCATGGAAGCTGGGGATACCAGACTGGACACGCCTGAAAAAGTCATACAAGTTGGGAACAAGAAACCAGCTGCTTAACCTCCTCAGCCGTGCTGCGCTGTGCCTATGCCTATCCACACAGCATGCAACCGAAACAAACCCACCCAGTCACCAACCCCGCTCACCCCCCCAAATCCCCCCCCCCCCCCCTCCCCCCCCTCCCTCCCACCTCGCCTCACATCCCTCTCTCACTACCCTCCCCCCCTGCCCCTCCACTCACCAATGCAACAGTGTTGGTGGGCGGCAGCACAAACCTCGCTACCGGTCCGAACCGTTGGAACAGCCCCACCAGCTCCCCAGCCTCCACCTTGAAGGGCAGATTCTTCACCAGAATCACACTCCTGCTGCGCGCCAAGCTGCCAACACCACCAGCAGCACCAGCACTGCCATCCGCCTTGGTATCCTTTTTCCCAGCTGCTTTGGCAGCAGCAGCAGCGGCGGCAGCAGCGGTGGCGGCGGTGGCGAATTGCTCCATGAGAGCCACGTCGATACCGGCGTCTAGGAGAGCCCGCTTGGTGTCCGCCACTATGTGCGCCTCCCCTAAGGCAAGCCGGACGGCTGTGTCACTGGCTGATGGGTCCAGGAGATCTCTCTTCGCGACTCCATATCTTTGCGCCACTGCCTCTGCCACCTGGGGGAGGCACGGGGGTGGGAACAGGATGGGATCTTGAGAAGGGAGGAATCGGACGGAAAACCAGCTGCAGCGGCAGCAGCGGTCGAGGTGGTTGTGGCTTGCTCCATGGGGGCCACATCGATGCCCGCGTCAAGCAGAGCCTGCTTGGTGTCCGCCACTATGTGCGCCTCTCCTAGTGCCAGCCGCACTGCTGTGTCGCTGGCTGATGGGTCGAGCAGGTCTCTTTTCGCGACCCCATACCTCTGGGCTACTGCTTCAGCTACCTGAAGGGGGGACAGAGGGGAGGATGGGGACAGAATGGAAACAGGAGGGGGCGTGGAGCAGGTAGCACGGAGCATGAAGGAGAGACCCTGTGTGGTGGTGGCGAATTGCTCCATGAGGGTCACATCGATGCCTGCGTCTAGCAGGGCCCGCTTGGTGTCCGCCACTATGTGCGCCTCCCCTAACGCCAGCCGCACTGCTGTGTCACTGGCTGATGGGTCCAGGAGGTCTCGTTTTGCTACTCCGTACCGCTGTGCCACTGCTTCTGCTACCTGGGGGAGGAGAGGAGAACGTGGGAGAGCATGGAGCACGGAGCGTCTAGCAGGGCGCGCTTGGTGTCCGCCACTATGTGCGCTTCGCCTAAGGCAAGTCGAACTGCTGTGTCACTGGCTGATGGGTCGAGTAAGTCTCTTTTCGCCACTCCATATCTTTTCGCCACTCCATATCTTTTCGCCACTCCATATCTTTTCGCCACTCCATATCTTTTCGCCACTCCATATCTTTGAGCCACCGCTTCAGCCACCTGGGGGAGACACGTGTATGAGAGGGAGCAGGGAGCATGTAGTGTCAAGGAGAGCGCGCTTCGTGTCTGCCACTATGTGTGCCTCCCCTTGGGCCAGCCGCACTGCTGTGTCACTGGCTGATGGATCAAGTAAATCTCTCTTCGCAATTCCGTATCTCTGAGCCACTGCTTCTGCCACCTGTGGGCATGGGGATGGGAACAGGATTGGAACATGTGAAAGGGGGAACGGGGAGGAGCAGCAGCGGAGGGAGCAGCAGCGGTGACGAATTGCTTCATGAAGGCCGCGCCGATGCAGGCGGTTGCATGCAGAAAAAGGAGCTCCAAGCATGGTTGTTTCAGGCGTCTCAAGAGACCGTCTTCCTTAACTTATCGAGTTGCAAATAGACGGAGCTCACAACAATGCCCAAACGGGCTCCGTGCCCATCGAGGTGACTGTTGAGTCGACTCAAAAGTCACAAGGCCCAAACAAGCTACGTGCCCATCTCTCCTACCGTATCTGGCCGCATGTAAAAGGAGCTCCAAGCGCGAGTGTCCCCTCCTGTTTCGCGCTTCTTCCTCTCCTCCTCCCTCCTCTCCTTCAGCGTTTTTGCCTGCAGGTTCGCATCCCTGCACGGATGTTACGGAGGGAGCAGAACACGATAGGTAAATTAGGAAACCCAAATCAGCACAGGTCAACAGCAAGTCGAATAAGTTGCACTCTACATTCAGGCTTAAGCAACAGACCATATCGCCACGCCACCCCACCCACTCTCTCTTCACTCCACAGCCCGCCCTCCCTCTATTCCTCAGCATGCATGGCTTACTCGTCCTTCTTGGGGGGTGGTCTGTGTGCCGGCAGCACGTGCAGCAGGCGGCCCTGAAAGATGGAGGAGTCGAGAGCCTTCATGGCACTGCAGACCAACACAGTCACCCGATGGGCAAGGGGAGAGGGCCGGGGGTTGGGGGGGGGGGGGGGGGAAGGGGGGGTTGGGGTGGGGTGTGAATGTGGGGGGACATGAAGACAGACATGGGCGCGCATGTAAACTGGCAGCACGTGCAGCAGGCGGCCCTGAAAGATGGAGGAGTCGAAGGCCTTCATGGCACTGCGGAGCAGAGCACGGCACAGCACAGTCATGTCACGGGCAAGGGGACAGGAAGGGGGGGACGAAGCATAGGAGAGACAGAGATGGGCGTGCAGTGAGGGAAGATGGAGGAGTCAAGGGCCTTCATGGCACTGCAGCACGGAGCACAGTATGGCACGTCACAAGAATGGGAAGAAGCGAGGGGTTGGGGGGAATGGTGGAAGGGACGGGTATTGAAGAGAGAGATGGGCGCGCAGGTTCACTGGCAGCACGTGCAGCAGGCGGCCCTGGAAGATGAAAGAGTCAAGGGCCTTCATCGAAATCACTTTTGAGAATTCTCAAAAGTGATTTCAATACAGCACGTGCAGCAGACTTTTGAGGCGCCTCAAAAGTCACTTTTGAGAATTCTCAAAAGTGATTTCAATACAGCACGTGCAGCAGGCGGCCCAGGAAGATGAAAGAGTCAAGGGCCTTCATCGCACCGCAGTGCAGAGCACAGCACAGCACAGCACAGTCACGTGATGGGCATCACGGGCAGAGTCGAATGGCGGGGAAGGGATGCGAGGTGGGTTGAACACACACACACACACACACACACACACACACACACACACACACACACACACACATGCACATGCGCACACCCATGGCTAACCGCATCACATCCCCACTACTCACCTGACAGCATCTTCAGGAACAGTGAAGAGCGCATATGCAAAGCCCTTGGAGAGCTTGGTGTGGCGGTCCACCACCAGATGGACTTCTGCTAGCGATCCATAGGGGGCGAGCAGGGTACGGAGGTCATCCTCCCTGTGAGGAGAGGGGAGGGGTTGAAAGTGAACAAAAGATGAGCTTGGTGTGGCGGTTTACCACCAGATGGACTTCTGCTAGCGATCCATAGGGGGCGAGCGGGGTACGGAGGTCATCCTCTCTGCAAAGCACAGGGCAGGAAAATGCACATGGACGCAGGGGAAGGGAGGCGAGTAGATAGATGAGCTTGGCGCGGCCGTGGGTGAGTGCGGCTCACCTCCTTTGGGTTGGCGATACGAAAGGAGAACCGTGGGTATGCGCATGTGCGGTGGGTAAGCCCCTCCATACGCCCCTCCTTTGGAGGGGCGTACAGGCCAAAGAAAGCGGAGGGGAGGGGAGAGAGAGGGAGAAGGGGCGTACGAGGCGGAGTAGCAGAGGTTGCGGAGGAAGAGTCGGCCCGTCTCCCTCACATCCTCTGCTGCTTCTCCATCCACCACTGGCCCCCCTCCCGCCTCCGCTGCTGCCCCATCCACCACACCATCCTCTTTCTCTTCCTCTTCCTCCTGTTCCTCCCTTTGTTCACCTTCTTCCTCTTCATCCTCACTCTCCTCCCCTTCCTCCTCCTCCTCCTCCCCCTCTTCTTCTTCTCCCTCTCCCCCCTCCTCCACGTCTCCATCCTCCTCTCCCTCACTCCCTTCCTCGTTCCCCACCCTCCCTCCCACTTTCTCCTTCTCTCCCTCCTCCTCCTCCTCCTCATCATCATCATCACTCCAATTCGAAGCAACCCTTTTCTTGAGATAATCCAGATTACTCAAAACCTCCTCCTCCCTTTCCTCCCCTTCCTCACCCTCCTCTCCCTCCTCCCCCTCACTCCCCTCCTCCTCCCCATCTCCGTCCCCCCTCTCTTCCCCCTCCTCCTCACTCCCATCCCCCTCTACAATCACATCCCCATACAGCTCATCATCACTCTCTTCCCCTCCCCCCTCCTCCCCACTCTTCCTCCCTCCCATTCCCACCTCCACCACACCTCCACTCACACTCCCACCGCCCCTCCCCTTCCCCACACCCCCTCCTCCCCCCCCATCCCCATCCGCAGTATCATTCGCCCAAACCTTCTTCTTCCCGCCTCGCTCCATCACCTCTAGAAACTCTCTGAACCCTTCATCCTCCTGCGCTGCTTGCTTCACAGCCACCCCTCCCACCACCTTCCCTGTCTTTTTCTTCCCTCTCTCACTCTCCCCACGCTCCCCACCTTTCCCTCCGTCCGCCGCTGCCTCCACACCTCCTTGCTTCCCCCCTCCTTCTGCTGCCGCTCCCTTTCCGCCTGTCCCTCCGTCGCCCTTGGTCTCCTTGGCCTGCGTGTGCTTGCTCCATGCGCGGGGCAACGCCGTGTGACCAATGGGCATGGCGAACTGTGGGTGGGAGGATGGAGGAGGAAAGGGGAATAGCGGAGGAATGACTTTTGAGTTGACAGTCAGACGTCATCGCCTTGGCATGCGTGTGCTTGCTCCATGCGCGGGGCAACGCCGTGTGGCAGATGGGCATTGCGAACTGAAGGCAAAGGGAAGGCGGAGAAATGGGGATGACGGATGGAGGGGGGATATGGGGATAGTTGGCTATTGATTCGATTAGAATGTCACCTCTTACGCATGAGCTGACAGTACGAGCACGTGCGAACCCATTGGAAAGTATGCTTGCTTAGTGCATGAGATGTGTGACCAATGGGTTCGCATCGCTACTTTGATTCGATTTGGCCGAGGAAGATGGTTCAGGGATTAAGGTTTAGGGTTGGTGCAAAGAAGTCTATGAAAGCTACATGCGTGCAGCGGTAACCATGTAACCATATGCAACAGGCCAGTTACCTCGCAGCTAGGACGGAATCTGCTACGGAGCAATGATAGGTTGAGAGGATGCTATTACCTACCTAACCGCTGCCTAGGGGTGAGCGAGAACCCAAACCCAAAGCCTTGTTCATGCTTTTGAGTCGACTCAAAAGCAAACCCAAATCCCTGTTCATCACCTTATGCAACAAGTGATTAACCTCGCAGGTGAGTCGAAAGGTGTTCATGAAGGAGGTTGTGAATAGAAACTGACGTAAGCATGTGTAACACGGTTACCGCACCTCGCAGGTGAGTCGAAAGGTGTCCATGAAGGAGCGATTGAAGTAGGCTATCGCCGCTGCTGCCTCCTCCTCCGATCGCAGCCCCACGAAGCCAAACTGCCGCGACCGCCCGTCGCTGGTGGGGGGAAGGGGGGAAAAGGAGGGACGGGTGGTGAGGGGAGGGCAAGGGGGGCGAGAGAAGGGATGGGGAAGGGGAGGGTGCGGGGTGGGTGCGGGGTGGGTGCGGGGTGGGTGCGGGGTGGGTGCGGGGTGAGTGCCGGGTGGGTGCCGGGTGGGTGCAGGGAGGGCGAGGGGAGGGGACACAAGGGGGAAGAGGACGGTGTGTTGAGGGGAAGGGGAGGGAGGCGGGGAGGGGGGGTGGGGAGGGAAAAGGGGGGGGAAGAAGACGGTGAGGGACGGAGTGGGGATGAGATGGCAGGCGCAAGGGAAATCAACATTCCTCCGACCGATTAGTTGAAATGCTGATGGGATGACCCTCCTTGGTGTTGGGTAAAAACGGGGACGAGACGAGAAGTTTGAGAAAAGGAGACGATATGATGTGGCAGAAGCGAGAGAATGAGCATTCCCGCACTTGACTCCCCCGCACTTGACTTCCCCCCCCTTGACTCCCCCGCACTAGATTCCCCCGCACTTGACTCCCACGTACATGATTTCCCCGTCTTGATACAACCGCACTGATTTCTCCCGCTCTTCACTCCCCCACACTTGAACCCCGCACTTGACTTCTCAGTACATAATTCCCCCGCACTTGACTTCTCAGTACATAATTCCCCCGCACTTGACTTCTCAGTACATAATTCCCCCGCACTTGTCTTCTCAGTACATAATTCCCCCGCACTTGACTTCTCAGTACATAATTCCCCCGCACTTGACTTCTCAGTACATAATTCCCCCGCACTTGACTTCTCAGTACATAATTCCCCCCCACTTGATTCCCCAGCACGCCACGTCATGTGAAGCTTCTTGACTCGACTCGCAACTCGTCTCATGTGACGTGGGTTTTTCCTAAACCCTGAATTTGAGGCGCAGCGGAGGCACTCAACCCTACGTGTAAGCCCCGCCATGCGTTACACGACTTGGCTCGACTCGCGACTCGTCTTATGTGATGCTGGCTGGGAGGAGCGCTCTCACCGCGTGCGCATGATCTTGGCGTCGGTGACGTGGCCTTTGACGGAAAAGTGCTCTCTCAGTCTTTCCTCCGTCACGTATTCTGGCAACCCTTTGACGCACACGCGCGTGCTACGAGGCATCTGATTAGCCTCCTCGGTCTGTACCCCCATAGTCACTCCCGCTATTGGCAGCTAATTTCGTGGTTAAAGGGGAGTCAACGACGAAGTGAGATTCGCGAAATCTATTAGCTGACGGGGAGGCCACGCGGGAAGGCGAGGCTGCAGATGACAGATAGGAGTGCTTGTAAACGAATTGTGGCCGAACAGAACAGACGGTCACTAGATGATCACGCAGATTGAAATAATAATGGTCAGACGCGCTGGCGGCTACAAAGGAGGCGAACGCAGACGAGCAACCAGTCACATCGGACGCAAGGCAATTTTTTTCGCAAGAGCTGACACAAAGGATTTTATGCTCTTTTATTTGCACATGCTGGCGACCGCGATTAGGGTTTTGTGAGCTCTGACATGTGCGAGGGTGGGTGTTATGAATGAACTTGCAGAGTGCGCAGTAAAACGAATATCGAGAATGATTGAATACTGAATTACTGAATTCCTGAAATTATAATTTTTAAAACACACATTGTGTTTTTTAAAATTGTGTATTGTGAAAGCGAAGCTGCTTGTACTGCACAATTGGCATCGTCGAAGCGCGCTAAACGCCCTCCTCCAACTACAAAAACCGTGGGTTGGAGTTCATTTCCCTCCACCCACGCTTCTCGATTTTCCAACGGCTCACTCAACATTCCCACCACCCACCCCAGAGTAAACCGCCTTGCTAATGCCACTTGGATAGGGTACATCTTAGCTAGTGTTATTCGATTGCACTAGCTTGTGTTCAACGTCGATGCAAATGTTGTAATTACCCATTTGTAATGAGAACGATGCCAATTGATAAGAATAACAAAGCAAGCTTTCTCAATTGACGATACAATGGAAGTGACGAGGCCTAAATAGGGGAAGTCCTAGCTAGGCGGAGAGGTTGGGCGAGGATGGCTCGGTGATGGTTGCGATTGGTGCGGAGGCGACTCGGGAGTGGTTCGGTGCGACGAAATAGGAAGGACAGGTTCGTCGCGTGACCCTCGGGATGTCCTCGCTAACGAGTGCCTCAGTAAGGATTCTGTAAATCCTTACAGTGGGGGGGAGAGGGGATATGAGTGGTTTCGGGTTTGGTGACATCGTTTGCTCGATAATGAACACTTCGTAGAAAAACAGAGCCTTCTTCAGTTGCCATGTACAAGCTTTTGCGAAGTTACCCTAAAAAAATCTCTATTCAGCTTCCTATTTGTTACACAGCTTGGCATCTACCATCACGGATCATCTCCTCTACCTTTGTTCTCAATGCATCATAACTTCTCACAACATCTATTTGACATCCCGACAACCTTGGATAGATCCTCTCATACGCCCTACCAGCCTCCTCTGCTCCTCTTCTAAAATAAATAATATTCCTGCCGCCCCAGTAGCTCGACAGTACTGACGTGCCGCCCTGTACACTTATAAAGCACGAGCTCCGCGCCATTGTTCTGAACTGCACCTCGTTATAATCACATCCCGGGCAGCTTCTGCGAAGCTTGTGCATTGTAGTGAAACGAGGCTGCAGCCAGAACTCCTCCCGGAACATTCTATACTCACCTAAACCAGTCAAGTCCCGCTGCTCCCGATCTGTCCTAAACGCCTTCCCCGCTCGGTTATACACCACATAGTACCCGCTATTGAGAAACTCAGTAATGATCCGCTTCAGTGTCGGAATGTCGATGAAATTAATCGGCGGCTCACCCCACTCAGTCTCAAACTTGTTACTGATAACAACCAACGAAGCACCCATGGGAACGTCAGTCCAAACAGGGCCAAGCTCCCGAATGTGGGAGGCGAGAGGAGGAGCTGTCCACGTATCCGGGATCTCGCTATCATGCAAACCCTCCTTAAACCCATACCGCTTGATCACGAAGTTAAAGTGCGCAGATCGCTTGCACTTCCATCCGACGGTCTGGATCGGGCTGAAGTAGTAGAGGAGCGCGAGCGACGGCATGGCGCAGAACCTAGTAGAGTTCAATGAGCCGTTCAAATAGTGCCAGTAGGCGAACGGGAGGGCGGCGATCAACTCGTACCCAAACTCGCCGCGGAAAAAGACGTTGACAGGCGTGCGGACAGAAGCAGGAGGGGGGCTATTTGTAGGGTCTAGGTTTGGTGTAGGCATGGTGCTGGTGGGGTCTAGGTTCGGCGCAGGCATGGTGCTGGAGGATTCCAAAGAACGGAGAGGGTTGTGAGGGACGATGAAGATTCGATCAGAGTAAGACAAGGAGGAAGAGGGAGTGGAGGGGTCTGGGAGCAGGAGAGTACCTTGGGCAGCAGGAGGGATAGGTGGTGAGAATACAGAGGGGTTGGTTTCAAGTAAACTGTGGGTAGAAGGGGTGTCATTGTCAGTGGGTAGGCTGGTTAAGGAGAGTGGTTCTGAATGAAAGGCTTCTGGCAAGGGGAAGGGAAGGAGCGAGGAAGCTGGGGTGCTTGGATAATTGTCGGGTTCAGGTGGTGTGACTTGCGCCTGATGCTTTTGCCAGGACAGGTGGGTGGGATGGGGAAGCTGTAATGTGGACAGTGACTTTTGAGGTGACTCAGAAGTTGCTTCAAGCAGTGAGATGTGTGCCTGGTGTCGGTGCAAGGACCGAGGTTGGGGAAGAGGTACGGATGTCAGTGGGTGGGGCAGTGGCAAGGATGAACCAGAGGTCGCTGCTAGGGGAAAAGATGTTCCTGTATCGTGAGATTCCTCAACACGTGGCAGGGGAAAGGCTGCTTGCGTGGTATGTGATTTCTCAATCTGTGCCAGAGGGGGAGACTCTTGCACTGTGGAGGGGAGGGACGAATCGGTGGGTTTCTGAGCTTCCAAGGCGACTGGGTCTTGAGATGATGGGCCTGGCGAGGGAGCGAGAGAGGGAGGGAAGGAGGAAGGGAGGGAGATGGTGGGTCGGAAATATGGGATTGAGGTACACGGCAGACTGAGCGAGCAATGCAGTGGGTGACTTCAGAAAGATGAAAAGAAAGGGAAGAAAACAAAGGAAAGGAAGAAAGAAAAACCGTTGTGAGAGCAGCGTAAAGCGGGAGCAGCGTAAAGCGGGAGCAGCGTAAAGCGGGTGCAGCGTAAAGCGGGTGCAGCGTAAAGCGGGTGCAGCGTAAAGCGGGTGCAGCATAAAGTGGGTGCAGAGGGCACTAACAAAATAAACAACTGCACTTGGGACGTTACAAGAGAAGAACTTATATGACGCGCGTCTTCAGGTACCTGGCAAGAATCACCTGACGCGCGCCTCCAGGTACCTGGGAAGTATCACCTGACGCGCGTCTGGCAGGTACCTGGGGAGAATCACCTGACGCGCGTCTCCAGGTACCTGGGGAGAATCACCTGACGCGCGTCTCCAGGTACCTAGGGAGAATCACATGACGCGCGTCTCCAGGTACCTGAGAAGGGCAGAACTTGGGTAGAGGGGTTGTGTGGTGGTAGGTTGGAGAGAGCAGGGCGAGCGAAGGGCGTCGCCACGAAACCGACGGCGACGAGGAGAAGAAACGCCACGACGAGTGGTAACCGTTTCGCGCATGGCCGCCGCGAGCAGCGCCAGAAGCGCGCGCAGCGCGAGTAGAGCCAGCGGGGATGCATGATGGAGGGGAGAGCTGGTCGCAGCGTGAACGGCGACGAGCATTGGACGCACGGCGAGTGGAAAAACGGACGACGAGAGCACGGCGACGGGCGCGGCGTCACAAGCATGCGCAAGAGCCGCAGGTGCAAGCAAGAGGTGCAGGAGCAGCCGCAATCGCTGCATGCTACTCGATCCCTTGTGTATAGCGTCGCATTTTATTCATTGGCTTTCACTAATAGGGGTATATCCCCTGCTGTTCCCAAATACCCGAAGCGCGGGAAGACAGACGCACCAAAAGGGAACAGCGCGATAGCGGAACGAGCGCCTATTTATAAAAGAGACGGAATGTACATGGTACGAAAAGAGTCATCGGGCTCGGCTGTGCCGCCGCGGTCGGCGAGAGAAGTAAAAATCACGCGGGAAGGACTTCTTTGGGACGGGTAGGTGCTTTCCTAATATCTTACGCTGATTTTGCAAGAAATGTTGCTATGGCGGATGGATGGATGGGCTTGAAAACAGGTCCCAGAGCGACGGCAGCTTAGAAATCGGGTTTTAGCTTCCGCGAAAATCGCACAGATTTAGTTACCCGTTACAGGACAGCTTGCGAACGGAGTGGCTGTTTGCACAGGATTGAACTTCGGCCGCTCGAAACCGCAGCGGGGACTCGAACTTCGCAGCCCGAGGAGCATTCCGATCGTCACACATTCCGCTGCCCCGAAGATCGCGAACGGTACGCTCACCACTTCGTGTCGCCACACCTTCGTCTGACACGAAACAGCGGACGCGGCCTCAATGGTGTCACCAATGCAACTCAATCTCGGCAACCAGATAAATGCCGTGCCGCTTTGAAACGCCGATGATCTCACCCCACCGCACACTAATGAAGTTCATCAGGCAATGCTCATAATAACAACCGCTGACTGATCACCACATACTAAAATGCCGTCCAACAAACCATGCCCCCAACCACTTAGTGATCACCACCATTCCCGCTTTCTACGCCGCCTTTTGCTCAAACCTCCCAGCTGCACCCTACATCAGGCAAACAGCCATGTAAGAAATCAATTAAACATGCCACCGAGTCAATCCGATGTTCTTTCTCTGAGAAACAAAATTCCCAGCAACGCAATATCCTCTGAAAATTCCGCTAGCTCCAGTCCACACCTTACAACTACTACTACTGACGTGCCAAAAAGGTCATCACCGCGTAGCAACCATGCAACCTAGCGCGGCGCGGCAAGATTCCAAAATTCCCGGAATGAGCGGATCGCTATCAGCGCCGGTGCTCGTTCTTGCGCTAATCGGCGCGCTTGCCGTGTTCACCGAGGTCGTGTCGCTCGTGCGCGTCGGCGTATCGCCGTCCTACGTGTCGTTCTCGTCCGCCGTGGCCGCCGTTCACGGACGCGATGCCGCGTGGACGGAGCGCAGTACGGCTCCGGGAGACGCGGAGAACGACCTGGAAGGAACGGCGTGGCCTGCGGGTGAGTCGGCTCGCATGTGGAAACGCGATGGACCAATCAATGGGGGCAGGTGAATGCGGTGGGATGTGATGAGAGTAGGTGGGTGTAGGTGAGATTATGTGGCAAGATGTTGAATTGGCTTTTATTGAGTCTGTTAAGTCTTTCCAGCATGGATAAAGTGAAACTTACTCCAGCCAGCCAATGAGGGCCAACTGACACGTCAGACTTCATCACTCCTGACCCATCCAACCCACCAGATGCTCCCAACACAGAAGCAGCAACCGAAGCAGCAACCGAAGAAGCAGAAGTAGCAGCAGGAGGAGGAGGGGAACCTGGAGGAGGGGAAGGGAGCTCGGGTGTTGACTCCCTTCCGCCGCTCTCTCTGCTGCCTCCAGAGTCACGAGCAGGACTAATGTTCGATGCTCTTCTGAGAGCGCAGTTCCGAGTGCAGCAGGTGCGTTGCGGTTCAGTGCGGTTGAGAGGTACAGTAATCGTTCGTAGGTGCCTTGTGTTGCTCTCTCTGTTGACCCCGGAGTCACGAGCACTGCTCATGTTCGATCCTCTTCTCAGGGTGCAGTTCCGAGTGCAGCAGGTGCGTTGCGGTTCAGTGCGGTTGAGAGGTACAGTAATGTAATCGTAGGTGCCTTGTGTTGCTCTCTCTGTTGACCCCGGAGCCACGAGCACTGCTCATGTTCGATCCTCTTCTCAGGGCGCAGTTCCGAGTGCAGCAGGTGCGATGCGATGCGGTTCAGTGAACTGTAGTGCAGTGTGGTTGGGTGGTGTGCGGCAGCAGCTGTAGGTGGCTCGTGTCACTCTCTGCTGCCTCCAGAGTCACGAGCAGGGCTTCTGAGAGCTGTAGGTGTGTTGCGGTTCAGTGCGCTGTAGTGCGGTTGAAAGCTGCAGTAGTTGTTGCCTCCTTGTGCCACTCACTCTCTTATGCCCCTGGAGAGAATGAGTCACAAGCAGATGTTTGAAGCCTTCCAGGCGTGAGCAGCAGGCGAGCTACTGGGTGGGTCCCACAGTGCGATTGGTTTGCAAAGGCGTGGTGGAGTGGATAGCATGGCAGCACAGTAAATGAGTCGTTCCTATTCCCCCCTACCGCAACCCCCTATAAAAAATGATTACACACACGCATGGACAGCAGGCGAGCTAATGGCTGGGTCCCACAGTGCAATCTCTCTGCAGGGGAGTGATTGAGAGTATGGCAGGGTAGCAGAGGCGCAGTGCTTGCCTGCTTTCCACTCTTCACTCTCCTTCCTTACCTTGATCGCTCACAGGTGTGGGCAGTGGGTGAACTTCTGGGCCCAACAGTGCGGTTATTTTGCAAGGGCGTGGTGGAGAGCATGGCAGCAGAGGCGCAGTGGGCTCCTGCCTGCTTTCCTTCCCAGTGATACTGCACCAAGCCCTTCCCTTCTCATCCTCTCCCTCCCCCACTCCTTCCTCCTCTCCTCGGGACAGGCATGGCAAGCAGGCGAGCTTCTGGGTCCCACAGTGCGGTGGTTCCGCAAGGGCGTGGTGGAAAGCATGGCAGCAGAGGTGCTGTGCCTACCTGCCTACTCCTTGCTCTCTCATTCCCCTCCTTGCCTCCTTCACTGCTCACAGGCGTGGGCAGCAGGCGAGCTACTTGGCCCAACAGTGCGGTGGTTCCGCAAGGGCGTGGTGGAAAGCATGGCAGCAGAGGCGCTGTGGCTGCCTGCTGACGTCATTGCTGCTGCTGCTGCTGACGCTGCTATTGGCGCTGCTGATCCCGATGCTGCTGCCAAGGCTGCTGAAGGTATACTTCTCACATTATTGACTTCTTATCTTAGAAAATATATTCATTTATTTATCAAGTCCAGCCGAAAGTCGTTCATTTAGGTGCTGGTTAGGGTGTTTTTTCTTTCAGCTTCTTCTCTAGCTTCACCTGAAGAAGGAAGCGGGAATTGGATACATTGAAGTGAGTGTTCTTGATCGGCTTTGGCTGGCTCTGACGGCGAAGTGGCAGGTGCGGGCCAACGAGTGGGCACTTCGTATTGTGTGTATTCATCTTCTCCTCTCCCCTCTTGCACCCCTGCCTCTTCTCCACTGAGGCAGCAGCGGCAGGGGCCAACCTGGGCGACTCACATCCCCTAATTCTCTTGTTTTCCCTTTCCCCACTCCAGAGGCGGCAGCGAGGGAACGAGACAGAGGTTTGTATCCTTTGAAGCGATTGTGCCTGAGGCTGCTGGCAGCCTGGCACTGACAGCAGAGTGGCAGGAGCGGGCCAACCAGGACGACTCACATCCACCCCTACCCCTCTTCCCTTGCATTGCCCATTCCAGAGGCGGCGGCAGCAGCAGCGGCGGCGGCGAAAGAAACGAGGAGAGGGTTGGATCCTTTGAAACGGGTGTTCCTGAGACTGCTAGCTCTCACAACGGAGTGGCAGGTGCGGGCCAACCAGGGGCACGCGGAGACGGGGAAGCATGCCCCGTTTGGCCTCCATATAGTCACACTGGGGGGGTCAATAACGAGGGGATTCAGCAGCAGAAGCACGCAGTGAGTCAAGGCTTGTGCCTGACGGGGTTGGGTTGCTGCCCGCACCCAGGGGTGTGTGGAGAAGGAGAAGAAGGCTTCCTGTGGCCCGCATATAGTCACATTGAGTGTCACGTGTAGTAAGATGTCTTTTGAGGCGCCTCAAAAGGAAGGAAAAGGGAAGAAAGCGAAGAACGCTCCCCTTGGTCCGCATATCGTCATACTGGGGGTTCAGCAGCTGAAGCATGCATGCAGTGGGTGGCAGGCTTTAGTCATTGGGTTCTGTGGGTTGTGAGAGGGGTGGTTGAGGGGTGTGTATGGCTTGTGTGGCTGGATGTGTGGCTCATTGTACACCCACCTCATTTCGAGGCTGCTCAAAATAATTGACCACATCTCCTCTTACCCTTGGCTGTTTGTGCCTCCCCTCCCATCCATCTCCCTGCTTTTTTTTTTTGTTTTTTTTTTTGTCTCTTTCCTCTCCTGCCTCTCTTTCCTCTCCTGCCTCTCTTTCCTCTCCTGCCTCTCTTTCCTCTCCTGCCTCTCTTTCCTTTCCTGCCTCTCTTTCCTCTCCTGCCTCTCTTTCCTCTCCTGCCTCTCTTTCCTCTCCTGCCTCTCTCACCTCTCCTCCCCCGGCCGCCTCCCAGAGTGCGCTACCCCTGGCCGGACCTCCTCCTGCCCTTCTCAGTGACAGCCTTACACTTGACCCCTCTCTCACCATCCTGCATATGTTCCTCCTATCTCCTCTTTCCCGCCATTCCCCCAGAGTGCGCCACCCCTGGCCGGATCTCCTCCTGCCCTTCTCGGTCACGGCCTTCCCTCACCTCCGCAACTTCGTCACCAACTCCGCTGTGCGTGCCTGCGGGGCCATCTGCCCCGCCCTCAGCCTCCCATCCTTCCTGGGAGATTCCCCAGGTGAGCCTTTCTGCTGTTACCACCCTCCTCAACCTCAACCTCTTCGGCTGTCCCTCCACCTCCCACCACAGTGGCCCTGCCAGAGGCTCATGTGACCCCTCTCTTTTACAAGAAATTCCGATTCGTGTGCTCCTTCCTGATGGAAAACGTGCGAATCTAGAGAGTGTAGTAAGAGATTAAGTTCGTCGACTTCGACGGAACATTGCGTGCAGCTCAGGTAATCTTATAATATGAGCATCTACGCGTTGGAAATGTCTTCATCTCCACTCTTCATAATGATAAAGCGCACTTTCAACCAAGATCTAGGCTGATGCAATCGCGATTTGAATGCGATATCATGACAGAATTACTACGAAGCCATGAATTAGATATAAGAATAGCTTTTGCAAGAGTTCAAATCTAAAAAGTGACGATTTTGACAACAATGAAACATCGACTCAAAGTGCCAAACTAACAACACCAAAGGTGTTTTAGCGAATAGCGAAGGTTTGGTGGTGGTTGGTGTGTGCGAGTTCAGTTTCAACCCGCAACAAATCTAACAAGCACATTTTGCCCATACTCTTAGCCCACAACCAAGTAAAGCAAAATACCACAACCACCTACACAATCATCACTTCCATCTCTCATTTTCCACTCGTATCCCACCCCTAGCCCCCACCACCCCTTCCCTAGATATAGTGATCACAGACTTCAACATCAACGTGGGAGAGGCCTAGGACTCCTCTCTGTTGCTACCCCCAATGCTCTCCCCTCTCCCCACACCCATCCCTCTCCTTCCCAATCCTCTCCCTTCCAACACCAGGCATAGTAATAACCGAGTTCAATATAAACGTTGGTGAGGCCTGGGACTCCACGCTCCTGCTGCGCCAGCTGGCCTTGTGGCCCTCCCACCCTGCTCTCCTCAACCTCAACCTCTTCGGCTGCGCCTCCACCTTCTCCCACCACAGCGGCCCTGCCAGAGGCTCTGCCTCCTGCGACCCCATCCCCACGCCCTCCTCCTCTGACTTTGCTGCTGCAGCTGCTGCTGCTGCTGGCGTGCCCACGATCAGTATGGCCCGTGCGCTCACTCCGTTCTGGCGCCCTGCGTCCGTTCCCCGGTGTGGGAATATCGACGGGAGCTTTGGGAATGGTTCTGCTGGTGCTGGTGCTGGTGCTGCGGGTGGTGGTGTGGGGAGTGGGATAAGAGATGGAGTGCGGTCGGCTTGGGTGCGGCTGGTTGCAGGGGCGTGTGAGAGGGAGTGCACGCTTCCCAAGGACAGGTGCCCCCCGTCAGGAGACAAGCCATTCTCCCTTCCGTGCACTGCCTGTGTGCACGCGTGCTACGCCCGGGAGGGGTGGGGGGTGGTGGGATTCGGCGGGGATGGAGGAGAGGCGGTAGGAGGAGGGGAAGGAGTGGTGGAAGAACAGCTGGCGAGTCTGGGTGTGAACCGGCTGATAGGATGCTCAGGTCATGAGCTAGGCTCTCTCTACCCACCTGGCCAAACACCTGCCGCCGTCGCCGATGCTGCTGCTGCCGCTGCCGCCGCTGCCGCCGCCGCCGCTGCCGCCGCTGCTAGTAACTCTGACGTGGGAGACTCAGAGGTGGTCGGGCGGCCGCTTTTGGAAGTATCTGCGGAGACGGTGCTGGGTGCCGACCGGGTGCACATGGTAGAGTTTGGGCACGAGCTGGCAGCGGCAGTGGTGGTACGGCATCTGATGTCCTCTCTGCTGGCACTCACCCCTCAAGACATCCAGCAGTTCCTAGAAGAGGAGCAGCAAAGAGAGCAGGGGCAGCCTGCTCAACAACAGCCGGAGCAGGCGTGGACACACATGAAGCCGGAGCAAGGGCAGTGCTTCACCACCAATTGGGGGGACTACCGACAGAGGCACCGCTGCCCCAAGCTCAAAGCTATCAGCGGGCAGGTCTCCTTGAAATCTCGCCAGCCTGGGTGGGTGCTGTACCCGCTCTCGCGCGACAAAGAAGCGTTTATGTCGCACGTCCCCAATGCTACTGTAACTTTTGCGATAAATGTAAATTTACGAGCTGGAGGGAGGCTGGCGTTTCTGTTCCTGAAGGCTCAGGACCTCGGGCCTGGGCTCGTGCGTGTAGCGTGGGGGGGCGGGGGTGGAAAAGGTGGGGAAGGAGGTGGGGAGGGTGGAGAAATTGGGCCAATATTGTTGAATGCAGAGGCGTGGAGGTCACCTACAAGGGTTGTGGGCGGGCAGGTGCTGCCGGGGATAGTGCCGAGAGGGAGGGTGGAGATTTCAGTGACAGTGGTTCCCGGTGGTGGGAATGGAGCTCCCGAGGGGTTCGGCGTAATTGGTGTGTTTGTGTTGTCTGGACTGCTTCCAGATTCCATGTTTTCATAAGTTTTTATGCTTTGTTTTGTTGCTGATGTATCATGTACAGACTCTTGTACCATAGCATGAGCAACATCAGTAGTACACACTTCAGCAGCAAGTTTATACACTGCATGGGCCCTTTATTATTGGGAAAATATGCCATTCGTAACTATCATGCGACTCGAAAACACATTTGGTAAAAAAATAAAGGGTACGGTCACTGGAAAGGGTGTTTTCACGCGACTGATAAAGCGTTTCACGGAATCGGTCACAATCAACTGGTACAAAAAACGCGAATGGTCACAGATGAAACTGTTGGGCTGAAAAAGCCCTTAGGATCTTTGCAGGTGCGAATTCTGGGTAGGACTGATGTAATAGTGGAAGCGTTTAATGAAGTACTGTGAACCACCTTGCGCTAGTATGTGAGGGCAAAGTAGATTGATTAAAGCAAGGAGATACAAGATTATATAAGAGTACAAGGAATACGAAGAGATGCAGTTATAACTACTTTAATATTGCAGTTGCGGTTCGATACAGTGACGACTCGGGCAACTGCTTCTTGTAGCGAGTCAGTTGTGGGTCCTTGCTGTCGCGCTGTACTTGTCAAGTCAAAGGTCGCTGACCTTTGACTTTCGCGTAACCTCCAACAGTTACTTTCAACCTCTGAGGGTTGACTCGCCGGTGCTTCGATATGCTTCGCTTCGTTCATGCCTTGGTGCTTCGACACGACAGAGGCGCTTAAGATCGATTATTTCCAACACTCCCATTCGCTTCTGGAGTGTCACTGCTGGTGACGTGGCTCTGTCCAGTCAGCAGCATGCAGTATTCGAACTTCTGCTTTCCGAGCTTCTTGGTCAGGTAGTCAGCTGCCATCTCGGACTTGGGGCAGTATGACAGCTCGAGCCTCCCTTTTTCGATCTCGTCCTTTACTAAGAGATATCGCAGGGCGATGTATTTCGTCTTGTTCGCGAAACCGTTCTTGATGCGAATTGCCGACTGGTTGTCGCAGAACAGAGTGAAGCTGGGTAACTGAGCCAGTTTTGTTTCTTCCAGTAGTTCGCTAAGGTAAAGTCCTTCCTTAGTGGCTGAGCAGAGTGCAATATATTATGCTTCAGCTGACGAGAGGGCGATTAATTCATGCTTGCTCGATTGCCAAGAGATAGGTCCGATAGGTTCGAGGCGGTAGATGTAGCCGGTGCGAGAACGCCTATTGTCGGAGTCGCCAGCGTGATCGGCGTCGACGTAGCCGATTAACTTAGGCAGTGTGGTTGCGTTCTTGTAGTAAGTTAGACCGATCGTCGGGGTGCTGACTAGGTAGTGAAGAGCGCGGTCGAGCTCAGCTAGATGTTCTGCTTCAGGCTTCTTGAGGTAGGTGGCGAGCTGGCTTGCAGAGTACGATAGGTCCGGGCGACAGGTGACGGCTGCGAAAAGGAGGCATCCAAGTTTCCTCTGGTAGTCGCGTATGCCGGCAGGCTTAAGTAGAGCGGAGCTTCCCTTGCTGCTTCCTGTCGTGTAGTGGTACGGTGTGGAGATGGCGGCCGGTGTGAGTGCGAAGCGCTTGGCGATGGTGTCGGTGTATTTCGCTGCATTGAGGTAGATCGCATCTTCCTCTTCTCGGATGTTGAGACCGAGGTACTGTGTGATGGTAGATGAGACCGTGAGTGTGAGGTCCTTCTGCAGCTCCCCTTCGAACCAGGTTGTGATGCCGTCGGTCGAGCCGATGTAGAGTAGATTGTCTACATGGACGATTAACAGGATGTAGTCGGTGTTCTTCGTGAGCCGGTACATGCCTTGATCATGCGGTAGTTGTTTAAAGCCGATGCGAATGAGGCGAGCGTGCAGGTATTGTTCCCATAGCCGCGGAGCTTGCTTGATGCCGTAGAGCGACTTCAGCAGCTGTCAGACTTGATTGGGCTCTCCTTTGGAGCCGTGCGGTAACTCGACGAAGATTTCTACGTCGACAGGTGCGTAGAGAAATGCGTTCGCAACGTCGATTTGTCGCAACTTCTTCTTCTTCATGGCGGCGATCGCGAGGAGGATTCGTAGTGAGGTATGTCGGCTGACCGGAGCGAATGTCTCGGTGAAGTCACGTCCATGTTCTTGGTCGAAGCCACGTACGACCCAGCGTGCTTTGAATTTGTCTATGGTGCCGGTTGCTTTTGTTTTCACTCGGAAAACCCACTTTACGGTGAGAATCGTTTTGTTCCGCGCCACACTAATGGGAACGACTTTCCAAGTGTTGCGCTCCTCTAGTGCCTTTAATTCCCTATCCATGGCTTCGCGCCGTTTTTCCTTATGCTCCCCCCCCCAGAGCCTGCTGAACCGTGGTAGGCTCCTTAGGAATGGTCGTGCCGTGGACTGCGGTGACGAGCCCGAGTATCTGGAGTCCACTCTGTGTGAAGCGGGGGTGTGAGGATCTAGGATCGAGCTCAGAAAAGAGAATGAGAATTGAGTCGAATTGAATCATCACCTGGGTACAACACAAGGCTATATATAGGCTCGACACAAGGCCCCGTAATCAGGTGTTACGCGAAGGTTCCGCAGGGCGCGTAGCGTCCCGAACAGATCCTTACCGAATTCGGTAGAAGGCAATTCGGTGGCAACCGAAAAGCCCAGAATTCGGTGCACGCAACCTAGCTCGGTGCTATAACTATAATAAAATATAGGAAAGCACCTAGCCTAGGAAATCAAGCAATTCATGCATGCATATGATTATCCTATGCTAGAAATAGCATGATAAAGTAAAGGCAAGCAAGCTTAGCTGGCATAAGCCGTCGTACTCTCACACGTCCCCCCCTCAAAGCTGGGTGGCGTGAGATACACCCTGCTTGACAAGATAGTCCTTGAGAGCACGGCGTGCATTGCCCATATCAGCTTCTGCAACCCAGCTGTCCTCAGTGGGGTCGTATCCCTTCCAGCGTATCGGGAACTCGAGGGTCTTGCCGCCGCGGCGCCGGTGAGTGAGAATGCGCTCCACTTCATACTCGGGTTCATCCTATATGAGAACAGGTGGTGGTGGCGGTAGCTGCCGTCCCTGGAACTGTTGGTTGGCGTCCTTGTAGGGCTTCAGTAGCTGGACATGGAAAGCGTTGTGAAGCTTCCATGTATCTGGTAAGCGCAAGCGGAATGTAACTGGAGTCACCTGTGCCTCAACGACAAAAGGACCACAGAAGCGAGGCCGGAGTTTGGCTGGGAGGTGAGACAGGTTCAAGTTGCGCGTGTCAAGAAGCACCTGATCTCCGACTGCTACTGAGTGATCTCGTCGCTGACGATCGGCATACTGCTTCTGGGAGGTCTGCATCGTGGTGAGTCGTCGCTGAGTCTTCTCCCATAGCTGCTGCATGGTGGTGACGAAGTCATGTGCGGCTTGGACGTGTGCGGGTGTAGTTGGCTGCTGTGGTGTGAGTGGTTCCCGTCCGTAACACATGAAGAAAGGAGTTTTCCCTGTGGCCGCATGTGATGCGTTGTTGTAAGTGATCTCTAGGGTCGGTAACTGTGTGTCCCAGTGGCTGACGTCGTCCTTGCAAGCTGTGCGCAGTAACTGTTCAACCACTTGATTGAGTCGCTCTGTCTGTCCGTCAGTCTGGGGGTGGTATGCTGAAGACATTGCAAGCTTTGTCCCCAAAAGTCCCATGAGCTCCTTCCAGAACTTACTCGTGAATTTTGGGTCTCTGTCTGAGATGAGTGTAGCGGGGATGCCGTGGATGGTGATGATGCGGTCAAAGAAGAGGCGAGCAGTTGCTTCAGCTGTAGCTGTGGCGTTGGTCGGTATGAAGTGGCCCATTTTGGAGAACTTATCGATCATCACGAGGATGGAATCATGTCCCCGTGAGGTCGAAGGAAGTCCTGTGATGAAGTCGAGGCTAACGACCTGCCATGGCTGCTCCGGTACGGGTAGATGCTGAAGTAACCCTGCTTTTTTCTGCTTGCTACTCTTCATCCGCTGGCACGTGTCGCAAGAGGTGACGAACTGCTGCACGTCTGCTGCCATCCCGGGCCAGTAGTAATACTTCGCTATCCCTGCTAACGTCTTGTTGCTCCCGAAATGTCCCGCGTAAGGTACGTCGTGAAACTCCTCCAAAAGGATCCGCCGTAGCTGGGCGTAATTCGGTACCCAAATCTTTCCTGAACCTTTCCTTACAGCTAAGTCTTTCTCCCACTGTAACAGCTTCTTGGTCTGTGCTGTAGCAATCTCAGCGTCCACGGAGTACCCATGTTGGAATAGACCCTTGAGCAGAGGGTTCATCCCGTCGAGCTGGATGCCTGCTACATGTCCGGGGCGGCTCAACACGTCTGCCTTGTTGTGTAGCCCGGGCTTGTAGACGATGTCGTAGTGGAAGTGAGTTTCCAGGAAGTCCACCCACCGCACCTGTCGTCGTGAGAGCGTTGGCTGCGACTTCAGGTATTTGAGATTGCAGTGGTCAATATAGACTATAGTCTTGGCTCCCTCTAGGTAACACCTCCACGCCTTGAAGGCTATGACTATCGCTAAGGCTTCCTTGTCATGGATGGGGTAGTTCAGTTCTGCTCCTTGTAGCTTCTTACTGAAGTAGGCGATGGGCTGCAAACCGCGTCCGTGATCCTGCATCAGTATCGCTCCGACTGCTTGGTCATTAGCGTTTGCTTCCAACACGTAGTCCTTGTCTGGATCCGGCAAGATGAGTACTGGCGCTGTAGTCAGTGCTGTCTGTAGCTGCTCCATGGCTTGCTGATGAGGTGTATCCCATTTGTAGGGCGTATCCTTTTTCAGTAGGTCGGTTAGTGGCGCTGCTATCTTAGCGTACTGCGGCACGAACCTGTTGTAGTAGTTGGCGAAGCCTAGGAACTGTTGCAACTCCTTCACGTTCTCCGGTACTTTCCACTTCTTGACGGCTTCGATCTCCCGCGGGTCCACGTGTACGCCCTCGGCACTCACCATGTGCCCAAGAAACTGCACCTTCTTCAGGGCGAAGTCGCTCTTCAACAGCTTCACGTAGAACTTGTTTTTCCGCAGGATCTCGAACACCTTGCGCAGATGCTCCACGTGC